AGCAGCAGCAGCAGAGTGGTTGAGGAAACCTAGCACACAGCAGAATGCGGCCTCCTGCAGAGGCACGTCACACATAGGGAACCCTGTGGTGGGAACCCGCAAATGATCCTCCCTCTTTCCTCAACCTGATTAACAGTTGAAGTTGTTTCCGTGCACCTTCGAAACAAGGGAACTATTATTGCACTGTCTGAAGAACATGCAATGAGCCGTTTGCTGGAGACACTGGTTGCTGAATACCCCTCTCCTGAAGCTGGCGGGGAGGATGGGGATGGAAGGAAGAGGTGCAGTAGGAAACGTGCTAGTAATTCTCTCTTTAATTTACATGTGCACATGTTTCAAATGAGTGCGTCGAGTCCTGTTTGCTGAGCAGAGCTTTCCCCTGCGGTGGTTCCCAGCTGGCTGCATGGCATGCGTCTGTGAAGCCAGGTATAGCACCCGCATCCTTCACAGAGACTCTGTTCAGAGGAATCATTACCTTAGGCAGCATTTGCACTACCTGCAGGGGGTTGCCAGTCTCTGCATGTCTCCCTCGCCATGATGGAAATGAAAATTGGCAAGCTGGAAGGGGGCTGAAAAGGTGCACGAGAGCTGAAATTTCTGTTAATTGCTGCATTCCTTCCTCTGGGTTGGTGAAGAGAGAAAGGGAGGAAAGCAAGCAGCATTCAGTGGAAGGCAGAAGCTCCTGCTGGGCTCACCGGTGGCTCAGTGCTGCTTGATGGGATGGGTTTGTCACTTCACTGCTGCTTGGTTTTAAGGGATAATCTTTGCACTGTCTTGTAGAGGAGACCAAAGTGCTAGAAAGGGTGAAAAAAATTACAAGTGAGTCCATGTAACTGCTAACAGACAGGCAATATGCATTTTCCCCTATAGGGAGAAGCACGTTTGGAGGCAATGCTAGCACAGGAGTGCTAGACCTGGCTTGGGGCTGAGTTTACCACCCCCAAAGGTCCACACCAAGAAGAACCTAGTTGGGTCTTAGCAAACCAGCTGTTACAACACAGCCTGCAAACGAGCTCGGTACAGGAATGCCCAGACAGGCCTGCCAGCACAGCCCGTATCAATCACTGGTGGCCAAGTTGTGTGCGACCAATCTGAAATTGAGCTAATTTAAACGCTAGGTTTTTCAACCCGACCCTGCTCTCTCACTGAAGCTGCTGGGAAACTCCTACCAAGTTTGGTACAGTGTCATGTGGCCTGTTTGCAACATGAACGATTTCAAGGTTGCAAAACAGAAAAGCAGCCACTGACAACGGCTTTAAAGCCTTTCACACTGCTTTGGCTTTTGCCATTTTACAAGTTGTTTAAAACGCATCCAGTTCCTGTTATAAATGGCTACTGCAGACATTCATAGATTCAGAAATTCATAGTTGTTAGGGGCTGGAAGGGGCCTTACAAGATTATTGGGTCCAGCCCCCCTGCACTTGTGCAGGAAAGACTGGTGGGGTCAACAAACGCCATCACAAACTCCCAAGCAGCCCGCCCCCAATGTATCTGGCTACTAATAAATTAGTGGACAGACCCTTTGAATCATACAAGACTGTGGGTTTTTCCTCCAAGTTAAAATCTATATATGTATGTTGAATCCAATCATATGTTAGTTCCTTAAATTAAAAATTCACAAAAATAAGCACGAAGGTCCAGACCATGACCCATTGCAACTCCCTGCCATTGACCCTTAAAAAGAAAACCACTGAGGATTAGGAACCAGATATACAATAGGTTCATTAACGCATCAGACGCAGCAGCTCACTGAGTTTACAGCCAGGCCAACAAGCTTAGGACATCAGGATGACTGAGCCAAAATATACAAGTCTCAGTGTGTGATCTAACTTATCACAGGCTGTAAATCCTGAACTATAACAGAGAAAGGGTTGAATTCATCCAGATGGAATATTTTAATCTGAAGCCCATGAAAGCAACTGCAGGTCGAATTCAAGGTAAATCTAACAGATGTAGCACATCTTTTAAAGATATGTATTGCATTATCATCCTAATGACGACTCCTGGCAAGGACAAGCAGATGAAAAGTTTCAGCACCGGAAGAGGCCAAAGTCAGGGGTACCACAGTCTGAATCTGAGGTTGGCACTGCCTGAATACACCCAGCATCCTGTTCCCATAGTTTAAAGAAGAAGCAAAGGAATGGAAGGATCTCTCCTGTTTCCTCACCTGGACTGCAACGTAGGCAACTCCGAGGTAGGCTGCTATGCAGAGAGCCAGGAGCAGGTCAAAGATTGCCGGCTTGACCCTAAAACAGATGGACGACCGATGAGAACACTACAATAGCCAGACCCACGGAGGTGAAAGAAACCCCAGCCTGCCTTGAGCGAGATACGTACCTGTACGCATTCATCACCTGCTTCAACTGATCGTAGAAAACAAACTCGGGGTCCCTGTAAAAAGAAGCAGTCCTTCAAATGGTGTAACCCAAATGGATGCTGGATCCAGGGGAAGTAAAGGAAGCCTTTTAAAACCTCCAGTCCTTCCTCTGCCTTCTGAAGGAAGCAAATGATCCAGAAGCTGGGAAGCAGGAGCATTTCACATACCAATGTACAGCTGTCGCTAGCCACCTAAGTTAACTACTACGCATTTCCTATACACCACGCCCCACTTAATCAGAGACAGAGCAACACCCAGATCACTGAACCCCATCTAAGATCCAAGACGAGGCTGTTTTCTGACCTGGGAACAAGTCTGTCTCCATAAACGCTTCATGCAACTCAAAGAGCAGGTGCCCTGGGAATGCTTTATTTAGCCTACAGCTTGCCCCATCCCAAAGAGCTAAATAGGGAAGACAGACCATCTCTTTCTGAGGTCAGGCTCTGGGCGCAGAGAGGCTGCTGTTCCTTTTACTGCATCGAAGGAAGGTTTGGTAGTATTTCAAAGCAGACTGCCAAGGAAGGTGTGGCTTGAGCAGGGAAAAACAAAGCCTCCTTATTGACACCGCTGAAGCTGAGACTATTATTCGTGCTTGCTGGAATCCAGGACAATTCCTTAAAGCAGTAGTTTTCAACCTTTTTTCATTTGTGGACCCCTAAAAAAAGTTGAAGGGAAGTGCAGACCCCTTTGAATTGTAAGTGTAGGGCTGAGGGCAGCATCTGAAAACGCTGCCACTCATCGAGACACTTCCCTTACCGTTTATCTGCCTTCACGTGATGCTGTTTGACATCTTTCAGGTAGCGGCCCATGTAATATTCTAAGGTGTTGAGGAAGGTGCTGTCTTTATCAATGAGCTGGGCAGCTCTGGGCTGACTGGTCAGCCAGTCCATCACTGACTCGAGCTGCTCCTCCTGAATCTCCTGCAGAAAGAGAATGGACCAAGTTCACAAGACTGACTAAAGGACACCACAGCACTTCAGTTCAAATCATGTCTAGGTCCCCTGCTCCCTTACCATCTGCTCTGTGAAGATCTGCAGGTCAGCTGGAGCCCCCTGTAGAGAGAGAAAGGGGATGCTGCAGTGAAGGCAGATGTAGGGGTGCAAGATATTAGGGAAAAGCCTGGCTGACTATGGGAGGGGAATTCTTACCTTCTCTGTTAGGTTGTAGATGACCCGCGTCAGAGCTTCAGCAATGATCCTGGTGTTGCGGGTGAGAGCCTTGGTGTCCACCCACGCCCTGCAAGAGGAAAAGGAGGAGTGTAGCTGGCAACAGTGTTTGCTGGATAATGCCCTTTTCATGGCACACCACTACTTTGAGAAGAGGAGGAACAAGAAGCCCAACTGTGGCACGATTATGGATTTCTGTTCCCCACTCCATTTGCCTCCATTTTCCTGAGCAGGGACCGGATCAGCCCCCCAACCGGCACCCCCGCAGGCCCCAAGGGAGGTGCACCCAGGCCCAGGGTCAGTGAGGACCTAGTCAGGTGGAGGGACTGGACATATTTAAAATCAGCTGGTCCAGACAATCTCCACCCCAGAGTGCTGAGGGAATTAGCAGAGGTCATTGCAGGACCCCCGGCATGGCTGTACAAGCACTCGTGGTGCTCTGGTGTGGTGCCAGAGGACTGGAAGAGGGCCAATGTGGTTCCCTTTTCAAAAAAGGGAGGAAGGAGGACCCAGGAAACTATAGGCCAGTTAGTCTTACATCGAACCTGGGGAAGCTTTTTGAGAGAATTATCCTGGCACATGAGGGACCAGCAGGGGAGATTATGCTTAGGGGCAACCAACACAGGTTCATTAGAGGCTGGGCCATCAGACCAACCTGGTGGCCTTCTATGACCAGGTCACAAAATCCTTAGACGAAGGTGTAGCAGTAGATGTAGTTTTTCTGGACTGTCGGAAGGCCTTCAATACTGTCTCTCACCCCGTTCTCATTAAAGAGCTAGGGGACTGTGGTGTCGACACCCACACAGTCAGATGGGTCGCCAACTGGCTGGAGGGCCGCACCCAGAGAGTGGTGGTGGATGGGTC